TGTGTTCCTAGTATGTTCAATATGTGCAAAGTGAGAAGGAGCTGTTCAGAGATGACAAATAAATATTTGCTCAGAAAGGTGTACCATGTTTCTCTTCTCCATGACACAGAATTTGCCACTACTGTTTCTTTCAAAAACCTGAGATGTTAATTTCCTATTTCCAGGATGTCAGGAACTGGACACCATTCATCTGTTTAGCTGGATGAGTTTAGTTGCCTTAGATGGTTTAAGTTAAGGAGTTTAACTGGCTGAGCCCTCTCCTTTTGCTTTGTTACTGGACTGAAGAGCTCATGCTCCTGTTGTGGCTTCTTAACCCTCCTCCTCCTCCCTGTCTTCTTCAGAAGTTGTGGGAGAGGGGATCTCTGATGATCAATAACTATGCTGTGTAATAAATGGGCATCAGGATCAGGTCCAGAGGCTGCGTTCAGAGTCAGACACCGTACAATGATCTCCTGGCAAGTCCACAGTGACAAGGAAGATCCCATGGAAGGCCAGGAAGCACAGCCAGCATATATGGGGCAAGGGCAGGATGGATGGACGAAGATATAAGATCGAGCACAGACTTCACTGCTGCCCATCTGTGAAACTGCACAGACTGAGGCTGGCAGTAAAGCCTCTTAAAAGTAGTTCCCAAGGGAAAGGAGAGGCAGGCCCTCACTTCGAGCTTTCTTCACAACAGCTTTCATCAGTGATGTAGTTGACTTTGGGCTGAGACACCTAAACCCCTTAACTCAGCCACATAAACTCCCAGAATGCAGGAAATTTGCTCAGGGTCCTGACAATGGTTGTGAAATATGTAGGAGCATTTCTGCCAGTGTAAAAGCATTTAAACCAGGGTGAAATCTGTTCAGATTAGGGAAATTCTGTATTTGTTTGCTTGTGTCACTTCATGGACATATTAAGTCCCTGTATTTTGAAGTGCATCTGAGTTGATTTCTACTGAAGAAGTTAGATGATGTACAGTTTTGAAAGTGTTAAGTTAAATTCAAAATGGTCCGCTGCATAGGAATTTGCATCTCCTTAATATTTCTAAAAATGGCTAAGATTTTCAGATATAAAATGCCTCAGAAGTGAAAAGCATTTTTTCTTTACACGAATTAAGTACTAAGAGAGACCTTGTACATAAATTGTGATGAATTTAGCAGCATTGAAGAACATAACGTAGCAAGTATAACACGGATCTCATGAGCAGCAATTAATGGGCTTTCTCATGTTGGTAGCTTGAAAAAGAATGAAAATAAATGTAGAGAAGACCATCCAGCAAAGCTACTTACCCCTACAAATACCCAGTACTGAACAGAGGGAGAAGATTATGCAGACCAGGGCAGCAGTATAAATCCAGAGTAACTACTGAAGACAGTAAAGTTACTCCACATTTATACTGGTTTAACGGAGAGAATAAAAAGGTCCATTGAGTATAATTGAATCAAGAAGTTTTCCGTTAAGTTCAAATGACTTTCATATCAGGAAGCTCCTGAAAGCTCAGAGAAGAGCAGTCCTTTCAGAACAATAAAATCACCATTTTAATCTTTACCGTTTTGACGCAGTGTTTTAAAATTCACTCAGAATATGCTGTTTTTTACATTAACTATATTTGATGCCAAACACTCTTGAATTCCAGTAAAAATATTCATATTTTCTATAGGCATTTACTTATACTTTCTGAATTTTATATCTTTGGATTTTTTTTTTGATCTTTTATGTTACTATACAGTTAATGTAGAATTCAGTGTCACATGTCCTGCACACTTTCTTTTGGAAATTCTGGTCATGTGTGAATAAGACACTGCAGGAATCATAGTAAAAAAATTCTATTGCATTAATGAAAGGTTAGATATAAAATAAAAATACAAGGTTTATATGAAGAAAAATTTCTTTTTTCAAAACCACCGTTGTTTTTGCATAGGGTAGAGATGAAGCATATGAATAAAACATATTAAGAATTGTTTTTATTTCCAGCTATTCAAAAGGCTTATTGTTTCTGAGCACGGGGGGAGAATGGCGGCTTGTTTTCTTTTGTTTTTTTTTTGTTTTTTTTTTGTTGGGGTTTTTTTTTTTTTTGAGCTACAGTTCTGATATTCATTATAACTCCCGTCCATCTAGGAAAAGCTGAAAGCTGCAAAGATACAGGTGCATACACATAATGACTTCATGAATAATACCTATACCTGCAGCTATTATATAAGACAATAAAAAATATATACACCTATACCTAAATCTCTTTGTTAAAATATACCTTTATATCCCCATATTAACAAGGTAATTTCCAGCAATATACAGATGGAATTTGTGCTCTGGGATCCAGGCTATCTTGAGGAAAATTCAAATAAAAAAAGAGATTTATAAAAAGTGGAAGCAAGGACAGGAGGCCTGGGAAGAGTACAGGGATGTTGTCTGGGAAGCTAGGGACCAGGTTAGGAAAGCTAAGGCACAGTTAGAATTAAACTTTGCTAGGGATATTAAGGATAACAGGAAGGGATTCTACAGGTACATAGCAAATAAAAAACAGACTAGGGAGAACATAGGTCCCCTCAGGAAGCTCTCGGGAGAACTGGCTACACAGGATTTGGAGAAGCCTGAGGTTCTGAATGACTTCTTTGCATCGGTCTTCACTGAGAAAGGCTCTGACCAAGGGACTGTGAGAATGAGGACCTTGGGCTCACTGTAGGAGAGGATCTGGTTCGAGACCATCTTAAAAATCTGAACGTGTACAAGTCCATGGGTCCTGATGAAATCCATCTGCGGGTCTTGAAGGAGCTGGTGAATGAAGTTGCGAAGCCACTGGCCATCATATTTGAGAAATCATGGCAGTCAGGTGAAGTTCCCGACGACTGGAAAAAGGGAAATATAACCCCCATTTTCAAGAAGGGGAAAATGGATGACCCGGGGAACTACAGACCAGTCAGTCTCACCTCTGTGCCTGGCAAAATCTTGGAGCAGATTCTCCTGGAAGGCATGCTAACGCACATGAAAATCAACAAGGTACTTGGTGACAGCCAGCATGGCTTCACTAAGGGGAAATCCAGACTGACCAATTTGGTGGCCTTCTATGATGGGGCTACAGAACTGATGGACAGGGTAGACCAGTTGATGTCATCTACCTGGACTTTTGGAAAGCATTCGACACTGTCCCACATGACATCCTTGTCTCTAAATGGGAGAGACATCAATTTGATGGATGGACCACTCAGTGGATAAAGAACTGGCTGGATGGCTGCACGCTAGGAGTTGTGGTCAGTGACTCAATGTCCAGCTGGAGACCAGTAACGAGTGGTGTCCCTCACGGATCACTATTGGGACCGGCCTTGCTCAACATCTTTTGTCGCTGACATGAACAGTGGGATTGAGTGCGCCCTCAGCAAGTTTGCCGACGACACCAAGCTGTGTGGTTTGGTTGATACCCTCGACTAATGCCAACCTCATGAAGTTTAAGCATGCCAAGTGCAAGGTCCTACACCTGGGTCAGAGCAATCTCAGGCACAGCTACAGGTTGGGCAGAGAAGAGATTCAGAGCAGCCCTGCGGAGAAGGATTTGGGGGTGTTGGTTGATGAGAAACTTAACATGAGCCGGCTTCAGTGTGCGCTTGCAGCCCAGAATGCCAACTGTATCCTGGGCTGCATCAAAAGGAGCATGACCAGCAGGTCAAAGGAGGTGATCCTGCCCCTCTACTCTGCTCTTGTGAGACCTCACTTGGAGTATTGTGTGCAGTTCTGCTGTCCTCAACATAAAAAGGACATGGAACTGTTGGAACAAGTGCAGAGGAGGGCCACGAGAATGATCAGGGGACTGGAGCACCTCCCGTATGAAGATAGGCTGAGAAAGTTGGGGCTCTTCATCCTGGAGAAGAAAAGGCTGCGTGGAGACCTCATAGCAGCCTTCCAGTATCTGAAGGGGGCCTATAGGGATGCTGGGGAGGGACTCTTCATTAGGGACTGTAGTGACAGGACAAGGGGCAATGAGTTCAGACTTAGACAGGGGAAATTTAGATTAGATATAAGGAAGAAATTCCTTCCTGTGAGGGTGGTGAGGCACTGGAATAGGTTGCCCGGGGAGGTTGTGAATGCTCCATCCCTGGCAGTGTTCAAGGCCAGGTTGGACAGAGCCTTGGGTGAGATGGTTTAGTGTGAGGTGTCCCTGCCCATTGCAGGGGGGTTGGAACTTGATGATCTTAAGGTCCTTTCCAACCCTAACTATTCTATGATTCTATGATTCTACTTACTATGATTACTTAAAAAGACTTAACCATTTTTTATCATTGAAAGGGGTCACCGAATTCTTCCAATATATGCATATGCTTATGTAATCATATATGTGCATGTAACATGATATAGCTACACTAATATCTTTTATACAGTAATGCCAGTGCAATGTTAGAAAACAAATAGAACCATATTTGAATGTTCTTCATAAAAATATTATTTGAACAATTATTCAAAAGTAGATTGCACAGTAATAGACTGCTGATAACCAGCTGTTACTTTGTAAAACTAGTCACTAAAAAGCGAAGCAAGACTTGAAACCAAAGTTACAAAGTAACTAACAGTATGCTTCCTTTTTCAATTTGATGTGAAAACATAGTTACAGCTCTATGGCTGTGAGTCTGTATTTCAGGTTTTTAGCCTTTTTTATGAAGTAAAGCCTTTAGATTTAGCTGGTGGAGACAGTAGGTAATGCAATCTTGAGATAACAAGTAAAAGATCACACTAGGAGAGGCACTGAATTTCCTTTTCTAGGATAAGACCATGTTTAGACATATTTCCTTTTTCCACAGTGAAAGCCTAGTTAAAACATGCATACCTGTAATTCCTCCTTCCAACTTCAGCCACTCAACATGACTTACCATGAATCTGGTTATTTGTTGCACTATTTTCTAATTAATTCTCTAATCCTATGGAGGGATCAATTAGGAGAAAAAAAGTTTTTTACTGTACACATGTCTGTTAACATTTTTAATAGTGTCTTCTCCCCCCCCCATTATCACTCTCTTATCTCCCAAAAGGAAGAAGAGATGCATGAAGGTCACCACTGAAGATTCATAAACCATTGTGAATAATGTCAGAACTATAATTTAATTAGTGGCCCATCTGTCACTTTCTGTTTGATGAGCACTAAATGTCCAATTATCATTTAATATCTGCTCTAATCAGCTCTGGCAAATTTCGCAGGCACACTAGGCATGACATTAATAGATAGAAGTGAGGCTACCTTTGCAACATTATCAGAGAGAAAGCTTTTGCAGTTTTGACTTACAATGGGTAAGGCATGAATTCATTCCAATTAGTAGCAAAGACATTCTATGCAGACGGTGTTACTGCATATTGCAAACTAAAGCTTTTAGTAGATTTTTTTCAAGAGAGTTTAGAAAAACATTTCTATTTTTTATGAAATGTGTTATTCTTGTTGGTGTCCAAAAATAACATCAGTCTTTAATCTATCTTTATTGCCTTCATGAATTAGTTTGCATATTTTGTTTCTTCATTCTCTTTCTGCCATTAGCCCTCACAAGTAAAAGACCCACAGGATTCTTCATAAAGAAAGGGAAAAAAACATGTTGAATAAATATTAGTAGACTTTTTTCAAAAAAAATTAAATACACAACATAAGCTTCCGAAAAAATACCAGGCCAAAGATTTTACTCCGTTGCGGGGACCAAGGGCTGATCACCATCATGACTTCTTTTGGTAAACGAAAAGCAAAAGAAAAATCTAATCTTTTAATGAGAATGTCCAGTATATGTGTCTTTTCAGACATGACACAGAAAATGACCACATGCTAAAAGCATAGAATAACTTGCTGGTAAGACTGATAACCTATGAAACACATATTGACAGCATCATAAAATGAACTTTTCCACTTGTAATGAGAGATTAAAAACCCTATTTATCCACACCTTGGGTCAAGGTCAGGCAGCCTATAGCTTCTCAGATTTGGGATCAATAACATAGTCTCTGAAACAGGTTTTTGTCCTGACAAGAAGATTCTTCTAATAAGCAAGTACTGCTCACATGACACTTTAGAGTTAAGTCACCAACTGTGATTATAAGTAAAATCCTCCAGCACTTGGAAAGAAAATATGACAAAAAAACTGTTTGCAATATGTCTGCATAGGTTTACTACTTAGTAGGTAATAAGATTGGGAATTCTGCCTGGCAGATCCACTGCAGTGATAAAATAGCCAGCTAAAAGTAGATATAAAATAAAGCCCCCTTTCCCTCCTGCTGTATGTTTTGGCAGCAACTCAAAATCCAGAATGTCATTTCTGATACTTCCATATTTCTACTAATAAGATTGAATCTGAGAATCTACTGACTACAGCTTGAATTCATAAGACCTTGTCAGGATGTTATCAGCTGCTTGACCCATCATTATTCTACCTAACCCAGCACACATCATAGCATCAAGTATTTAGAATGCATAAAACTGCTCCTTGATGACATACAGGTTCCACTAAAGCACATGTAGAGGCCTTCTCATCATGTGCAGGTTTCTCCACAGGTTTCTGAGAGTTTGTATCTTTTTATACCTCCTGTGCATATGAGGCACTGATTTAATAATCACCTAAAAGCAGTCACAAGAAACCTCTGAATCAATTCATAACTAAGGGATTTCTTCATAAGGAAAAATCAACAAGAACACATGCAAAATAAAGTAGTATAACCCCCGAGGAATGCAAATGTAGGAGATTAGAAGTGCCCAGACACAACTGATTCTCATTTCTTCTACTTTGGCTCCAGACAGAGGCCTGAAGAAGATGTAATCCAAATGCACAGCTTTGCTCTTGGGAAAACCTGCAAAGAAGCAGTCCACTTGAACTAAAGGCAAAGACAGGAATGTAAAAAATGGTTATTGAAGACCTTCTCCTTTGGAACAGAGAAGTGACTTGATTCTGAAGATAATTTTAAATGCCCTTGGCAAGTGAAAGAAAGAACTGAAGAAGATAGGAGGTTATTCATATGTAGGGTTGATATCAATAAACTCTAATAATAAAGGCCTAAATCAGATCTTTTCCTTTGGATGTAGTATAGCAGAATTTTTCAAATAACTCAGAAAGGTGAGAAATGCCATAAAACAAAGTCAGTCTTGAGGACAATACACTGGTTGTCAATGTCTGATCACTACTGTACATTTTTTTATTTCTGATTATGAAATTGACAGCTAGATAACTGATCAGGTACACAATATTTTTAACTATTCTGAGGTTATTTTGGCTCCTTTTGCTTCATGTAACACTAAGAACGTGACACACCTTGACAAAACTTTTATGCAGCATTGCCTTGACTTCCTGCTTTGGTGAAAAAGAATCACCCACTCACCTACTGAGTAACTAAATATTTTACACAATTACATAGAATTGTAGAACAATTTGGGTTGGAAGGGGCCTTAAATGTCATCTAGCTCCAGCCAACCTGCCACAGGCATGGGCAGCCTCCAATAGACCAGGTTGCTCAAAGCCCCATCCAACCTGGCCTTCAGCTCTTCCAGGTATGGGACATCCACAACTACTCTGGGCAACCTGTTACAATGTTATACTACCCTCAAAGTAGAGAATTCCTTCCTAATATCTAATCTTAACCTACCCTCTTCCGGTTTAAAACCATTCTCCCTTGTCCTATCACTACTTTCTCTTATAAAAAGTCCCTCTCCAGATTTCTTTTAGGCCTCCTTTAGGTACTGGAAGGATGCTATAAGGTTTCTATGAAGCCTTCTTTTCTCCAGGCTGAACAGCCCCAGGTCTCTCAGCCTGTCTTCATAGGAGAGGTGCTCCAGCCCCCAGATCATCTCTGTGGCCTTCATCTGGAAGCTGAGAGCGACCTCACAGTCACAGGCTGTGGTCATCGTGGGGGATTTTAACTTCCCTGATGTTTGCTGGAAGGACCACTCAGCAACCCAGCCACAGTCCAGGAGGTTCCTCCAGTGTATGGATGGTAACTTCCTCCTGCAAATGGTGGATGAGCCGACCAGGAGAGGAGCACTGCTGGATCTCATCCTCACTAACAAGGAGGATCTGGTCGAAGCAGTAAGGGTTGAGGGCTGCCTTGGTTGCAGCAACCACGAGATGGTGGAGTTCAGGATCTTGTGTGGTAGGACTAGTAGAATAGCAAGTAGAACTGCAACCCTGGACTTTAGCAGGGCAAACTTTGGCCTTTTCAAGCAATTGCTAGGGGAAATCCCATGGGCAAGGCTGCTTGAAGGTAAAAGGACCCAAGATAGTTGGTTGACATTCAAGGATTGCTTTTTCCGAGCTCAAGATTGGAGCATCCCGACACGTAGGAAGTCAAGGAAGAGGGCCAGGAGACCTGCGTGGCTAAATAGGGAATTGCTGGGTATGCTCAAGTGGAAGAGGAGAGTTTACAGGTCATGGAAGGAGGGGCTGGCCACTTGGGAGGAATATAAGGCTGCTGCTAGAGGAAGGCAGCTAGGAGGACTAAGGCATCCTTAGAATTAAACCTGGCAAGAAGGGTCAAGGACAGCAAAAAGAGTTTTTTCAAATACATGGCAGACAAAACTAACATCAGAGGCAATGTAGGCCCACTGATGAACGGGATGGGTGCCCTGGTGACAGAAGATACAGAGATGGCAGAGTTACTGAATGCCTTCTTTGTCTCTGTCTACTCTGATGCAGGCAGTCCTGAAGAGCCCTGTACCCCTGAGACCTTAGATGAAGTCAGGTCGACGGAGCGGTTTGCCTTAGTCGATGAGAAATGGGTTAGAGACCAGTTGAGCAATCTGGACATCCATAAATCCATGGGTCCAGATGGGATGCACCCGCGGGTGCTGAGGGAACTGGCGGAAGTCATTGCTAGACCACTCACTCTCCATCATCTTTACCAAGTCTTGGGAAACGGGAGAGGTGCCTGAGGACTGGAGAAAAGCAAATGTCACTCCAGTCTTCAAAAAGGGCAAGAAGGAGGACCCGCGTAACTATAGACCGGTCAGCCTTACCTCCATCCCTGGGAAAGTGATGGAATACCTTATCCTTGGTGCCATCTTAAGGCATATCAAGGATAAGAGGGTTATGAGGGCAGTCAACGTGGCTTCACCAAGGGGAAATCATGCTTGACCAATCTCTTAGCCTTTTATGAGGAAATAACACGGTGGATGGATGATGGCAGAGCGGTGGGTGTGGTCTACCTTGACTTTAGCAAAGCATTTGACACAGTCTCCCACAGCATCCTCACAGCTAAATTGAGGAAGTGTGGACTAGATGATCAGGTAATGAGGTGGACTGCGAACTGGCTGAAGGAGAGAAGCCAGAGAGTTGTAGTCTATGGGGCTGAGTCTAGTTGGAGGCCTGTAACTAGTGGAGTGCCTCAAGGGTCAGTACTGGGACCGGTATTATTTAATATATTCATCAACGATTTAGATGAGGGAATTGAGTGTACTATCAGCAAGTTTGCTGATGACACTAAGCTGGGAGGAGTGGCTGACACGCCAGAAGGCTGCGCTGCCATCCAGCAAGACCTGGACAGGCTGGAGAGTTGGGCAGGGAATAACTTGATGAAATATAACAAGGGAAAGTGTAGAGTCCTGCATCTGGGCAGGAACAACCCCAGGTTCCAGTATAGGTTGGGGAACGACCTGTTAGAGAGCAGTGTAGGGGAGAGGGACCTGGGGGTCCTAGTGGACCATGAGCCAACACTGTGCCCTTGTGGCTAAGAAGGCCAATGGCATCCTGGGGTGTATTAGAAGGGGGGTGGTTAGTAGGTCGAGAGAGGTCCTCCTTCCCCTCTATTCTGCCCTGGTGAGACCCCATCTGGAATATTGTGTCCAGTTCTGGGCCCCTCAGTTCAAGAAGGACAGGGAGCTGCTGGAGAGAGTCCAGCGCAGGGCAACGAAGATGATTAAGGGAGTGGAGCATCTCCCTTATGAGGAAAGACTGAGGGAGCTGGGTCTCTATAGTTTGGAGAAGAGGAGACTGAGGGGTGACCTTATCAGTGTCTATAAATATATAAAGGGGGAGTGTCACGAGGATGGAGCCAGGCTCTACTCAGTGGCAAACAATGATAGGACAAGGGGTAATGGGTACAAACTGGAACACAAGAGGT